GGTGGCTGAGGTCCTACCTTCTGGATCAAGCTGGCAAACTGCAGGTTGGCGGACTGGGAGATGTTGAGCACCGTGCTGTAGGCGTTCTCGCCTCGGTTTTCCAGCGCGGCCTCCACTGCCACCCGGCGGCGTGTGCTCTCAATGATGAAAACCGTGGTGTCGAAGGACAGGGTGTATTTGGAGCAGTCCTGCACAGGCTTCCTCAGTACCTTCTGGCAGTACTCCCTGTGGGAAAGACACCAGGCATTGGACAGGTGGAGCAGGGAACCAAAGGATGGAGCCGAGCTCAGGGTTGGTGCAGGGGACGGACGGGCCTGGGGCACTTGCTTGGCTTCTGCCTATTGGAAGAGTCACTGGGAGAGGAAGGAAAGCGGATGGCAGGGCTGGAAAGAGCTCACTCTTCAAGACCACCTCCTGCTCCAAAGACCCCTGGATCCCCCCTGATGGGCTGCATGCTCCTCTGAGCTCAGAGCCTCGTTTGACCTCACTCTCATGTAGCATCTCTAACTAGTCATGTTTCCCTTTTAGCCTTGGGTGCCAGGAAACTCAGAGATAGATGGAAAAACGATCTTGATTACAGCCTAGATGGTTAAAATATTTGCTTCTTCATCTTTCAGTAAAGTTTGGATGTGCTATTTCTATTTATTATGTCTAGCATATACATTTTCTAACTGAATCATCTCATAACTGGATAAAAGTTGAACATATATTATTGCAAGACACATGTAAATTGTAGCCACGATATTGTTCATGTTTTTCCTTGTGTACTAGTTTGCATTTCCCCAGGGGACTGTGGGCACCCTGCTCAGTTTCTACTAGTCTCCTTAGCATCTTGCCATCAGCAGGATTGGAAAGTCCAGGCATTTAGCCAGAGGACCTGGGGGTTGCCCAGTCTGGGGGCTGGAGAACAAGTACCCAGAAGCGAATCCCCTGATTCTATGCTCCATCTGTTTTGTAGTTTGGGCTCAAACTGCGAAGTTTAAAGAGATTAGGGTAGACAGCAGCATCATTTTAACAGAACAGGTGACTGAGGCCCGCAGAGGGGGGACTTGACTGAGCTCACACAGGGGTTGGAAGCAGAGCCTGGTGAGAACCAGGCCCCAAGTTCAGTGTCTGGAAAGACACTCACAGCCTGTGACAAAGGTGTGCAGAGAACAGTCCAGGTCCCCTTGAGCCCGGGGTCAGCAGCGAGGCTGGGGCAGGGTGTGTGTGGGGGGCAACTCACATGGCTGTGGGCAGGTCACTCCGAGCATCCAGCACGAGGTCAGGGACACAGTGTTCGTCCTCATTGCAGCCATTCCAGAAGGGCACCTGGGCCAGAAAAAGCCAGTTGTGGGGGCTGGAGAGGGACCCCCAGCATCCAGCCCTCAAAGTCATGGCACAGCAGCGGTCTGTGCACTGGACATGGCTGGGTCTGCTGTGCCCTTTCCCCAGGCCCCACACTGCCGGCCTGGTCAGTAGTTACCTATCCTGTGGTTCGTGTGGGGAAAGGCATTTGGTACTGAGGACACAGGATGAGGAAGAAAGAGCTTCCGCCCTCAGCTCCTGGGGAAGACGGGTGCATGAACAACTATAGTGCAAATGTGCAAAAAAACCAACCAAATACAACAATATATGAGGAATAGAAACAGCAAAAGGGAGAATTAGTTACTTTGGCCTGTAGGTGTTCAGAGAAGGCTTCAGAGGTGACAATGGGTCAGAGTTCCAAATGATGACTGAGTTTGCTGAAGGGACCAGGGGAGCAAGAAGTCAAGAGAGAGGATGAGTCTACGCAAAGGTCCTGAGGCAGGAGTGAGTCTGGGAAATGACAGGTGGTTAGTTAGTGTTGCTATAATAAGAGACACTTGGATGGAGGAGAGGAAGAGATGAGCAGGGGATAGTTATTACAGGGATTTGGGCCATGCCAAACTCCTGAGAGGAGTCCCTGAGTGCTTCAGGTGTTCAGGTTGAGGAAGGAGGGGTCCTGGCTGTTGTCGAGTTTTTCCAAATGTCTGGGGGGCTGGTCATGCCCTTCATCTGTGTGTAGAGGTGGAGAGGATGTCAGCCAGTGGGTGCTGAGCTGGGAGTGCTGTGGCCTGTCCCCAGTGAGAGGCTCAACAGACAGTGGGAGATTCAAGCCTGGAGTAGTCCTGTCGCCACCAACAGCCCGGCCCAAACCCCGGGGAGGAGCTGAGGTCGCAGAGGCACACGTGTCTTAAGGCGAGGGACTTTTCTCAAAGGAGGGCCCTGTGGCTCTCCAGGTGGACACTGTCTATGGGGCTTCGCCACTGCAGGGTGAACTTGCACTTGGAAGCAGATGCACTATAGCGACAGCTAGGGAGAGGGAAGTCACGTAACCCCGAGATGGGTTCCCAGGCTCGGCTGGCCCTCGGGGGCTTCGCGTATTCTAGCGCCTCATTCATCTTGGTGGGCTCCAGTCTCCGATCACACTCCTGTGCCCCCCACCCTGCCTGCTGTCAGAGAAGTTGGAAGCTATACGATGACCTTCAGAAGCAGCCCTATCCAGTCATTAAAGGAACAATTTGACATGATAAGCAGCTGTCACGCTCAATGATACGGAACGGCCCATTTCCCCAGGAGGCCAAGGTGGCCGAGTGGACACAGCTCCACGCACTTAATAGATGCCAAGTGAGACTTCGTGTGAGTGATGGGAAGCGTGTTTCTTGATTGCTGGGGGCTAGAAATCTAGATTAATAAGATTTTTGAGAAGCTTAGCAGCTCTTTAGAGGCCTCCGTAACATAACACGCCTGGACTCTCTTTATTGGCTTTTTTTTGTTTGTTTTTTAACCTTTTCTTTACATTTTCCTTTCCTCTGCTTTTCCCCATTCCCATTACCGTGTGCTCCAGGGAATAAAAGCCCACCCTCCCCAGAACTGCAGGTCTGAATTTTGTCTATTCTTTAAAGTCCAGCCCAAAGCCACCTCCACCAGGAGGTCCCCCGGGCTGTCATCTGATTGCTCCATCGACTTCCTCAGAGCTCATGTTGCCTCCTGGCCTGGGACCCTCGCCACCACCGGGCACCTAGCTCATCACGGCCCAAGCAGGGCTCGGCCCGCAGGCCAGTCTGCCTCAGGGACTTCGGCACATGTGGAGGGGGAGTGACTGCCCTCACTCATCACTCCTGGCTCACGGAGAGGAAGCAGCTCTGCCAGCTCAGGGATGGGACCTTGTCGGGGAGGACTGCGGAGGGACTGGGAGGGTGATGGACGTGGTGAGAGAAGAGGGGACGGTAAGAAGCTGGCTGTTCCCCTGCAGTCACTTCGTGGTGTTGCAGAATTCCAAGTAAGAACTCGAGTGATTCTGAAACTGGTTGCCAGCTGGACTCAGCAGTGTTCAGAGACTGGCTCAGTGACCGGAGCTCAAGGTCATGACTTAGGTGTGCTCTAAGGGTGCTTTCTCAGTCCTCAGGGCTCAGGCATTAGATATTGCATTTTACAAACCTTGTCTGCTCCCCCAGCCCAGTTTGGACACTGTCTGACAGTGTCTTTGAGTGGGGTCCACATGAGGTTGCAGACGTGGGATGCATCTGAGTGTTGGACGTCACAGGACTAGGGATGCCCCAGAGTTAGGGATTAGCGAATGTGGTTGAGGGTGAGGCCGGAGTCAATGTCGAGGCTGAACATTTCTTCTTGGAATACTTAGGGGCAGGCTTGGGAGAGTGTTCATCAGTCAGTTATTCAACCAGCAGAAGACCAGGCTCAGTGATTGAGCCACTCTGACCTCCACGTCCTCATCTGTAAACGTGGGAGGTGGATGATGGAGGTCCCAGATCCTTTCTGGCCCTGGGACTCTGTTTCTCCCACACCTACTCAGTGGTCCCTGTGCCGGGGATACCCAGGAGCCTCCAGCAGGAGAAGGCCTGGTCCTGACTCTCTAGGGATTGTGCTGTCAGAGCTCCAGGCGACCACGGAACGGGGCATGTTGTGGATCTGCTGGGAGGGAGGCGGGAAGGCGTGGCGGGAGAGACTTACCGAGACTCTGAGTGTGGTGGGCCAGCCATCATCCAGCACGGGGCCCTGGTCGGGGTCCTCCAGGGAATACTCCACCGAGAAGGTCACTGGCTTCACGTAGTCAGCGGTGTCCTGAGGGGTGGAGGGGAAGGCAGGGGTGTGGACATTGGGGCAGGACCACTGACCAGTGAAGCTGCAGGAGGGCCCTCAGATAGGTCCCCAGGGGTGGGGGGCGGGGAGACCTAGTGCCATCTGCCAGGGAAAGGACTGTCCCGTGGAGAGGCTCCTGGCTCAGCGCATGCCAACCTTCTGCCTGGGGTACACTAAGCTCCTGCTCCTCCTTCAGGGCTGACTGGTCACCTGGATACCTGGGCCTGCAGGGAGCCCACAAAGAGCCTCCTCCTCCTCCAATCCTGTTATTGCCTCTTCTCATATGACCTCCAAAACCCCTGACTATGTGCTGGTCTCCCCTCCCAGTAAGGGATAGGTGGGAGCCTGTGCGCAGGCCCACCACCATGACAGGGGTCGATGAAGGATGGACAAACCAACAGATGAACTAGGCGGGCGGTTCAGGCTGGTCGCCAGTGCGTGGAAAATGAAGGGGGCACGATTCTTTGATTTGCCTGCGGTGCCGGGCCGCCTCTGGGACCGGACTTGAAATCACACATCCCAACAGACTCCCGTGACATGGCTGTGGCAGGTGGGGCTACACCCCGAGGACTACAGGTCAGGGACAGTCCAACAGGCACGAGGACTTCTCACACCCCTTTGCTTTCTGGCCACAGGCTGTGAGCACCCAGGCCAGGTGGGTCCTGGGGCCCTTGCTGGCGTCTCTGAGGCTGGAGCTGTGGCCTGGGTGCTCGGTGTTTCTGGAAGGAGGCAGACTTCTCACCCTCTTCCCCATCCATAAAGGGGGCCCCAGGCCACCACCCTGCTGACCACCCTCTGGTTCCCTTTTCTGCCAGGCTGGCCCCCCGCTCCTTCTTCCAGCTATCACTCTCTCCCCCACCTCCTGGTCTTGGTTTCTAGCCGGTGCTGCTTATCCTCCCTTTGGCTGCTGGTGGCCTCAGCTCTCTCTCTCTCTCTCTCTCTCTCTCTCAGCCCCCCTCCCTCCTGAGTTTCGTCCCCTGCTAAGGAAGCCATGGGTGTCTGACAGCTGGAAGCAGGGCTTTGGAAGAGGTAGGTGGACATACACCCCCCGGGCTCCTCTCTGGGGCATGAGTTGGGGCGTGGGTGGCCAAGGTCCAGAGCACGACCCCGAGCTGGCCTCCTGTGGACCACTGCAGGCTCAGAAGGGGCCTGACACCCGCCAGGCTCTCACCCCTCCAGTTCTGTGTCCCCTGCAGAAGGGGCGACTGCGCTCACCAGGACGTGGAAGTTGATGCGCTGACAGTGCTCCTGGCCCGAGGAGAGCAGAACAGCCCTGTTGGTGAACGGGTCCCCGCCCTCATCCAGGTGGGCCCGCGGCATATACCGCCTCTCATCCATGGTGGCGTTGTACCTGATGCCTGGAGGAGGGGACAGGGAGACCTGAAGGTGGAGCCGCATTCCCATGGAAGGCTGTTTGCCTCTCTCTAAGAATGGCCCCTGGGAAGTCTGCATCCTCCAGGAAGCCCCCCAGGCTGGACAGGGAAGAGCCCTTCCTCTTGCCTGACAGGTCCCCGGAGGAGCAGGAAGCTTCATGTAGGGAGCAAGTGACGCAGGAGATGAGGAAATGGAAGGAATGGAGGAGAAGAGGAAGGAGAGGAGGAGAAATGAAGGGGGCCAAGCCAGAAGGAAAGGGGAAGAGAAAGGAGGGAGGAGGAGAGGAGGCAGGACGAGACCCCATGTCCCCTTCAGCCCCTGCTGGAGTCACACACTCTCCACACCCTTCACCTTCCATCTCCCACTGCTCTGGGTCCCTAGACGTGCAGGTCAGAGCCTCTGCCGCTGGCCCTGGACCCACTAGGAGGGAGCCCGGCCTCCCCACTCGTCCTCAAGCCTCCCTTCTGGGGATTAAGGCTGGCAGCCTCCTCCCCTTCACCTCGGGAAAACCTTTTGCCAGTTCCAGGAAGGTCTCAGTCCCTTCTCCCATCCCCCAGCCAGGCTTTGGGTGTCCTGGGCCCTTGTGTTTTCTCCTGTCATAGATGGAACTTGGAGGAGGCATAGCCACCCAGGCCTGCCTTTGCTCTCAGGTCTTGGACACCCTGCTCCTCCCTGTCTGGTCCTGCTCCTCGACTGACGTGGTACCCATTGTCCCATTTCAGGTGCAGGCCCTGCCCGGTCCTAGAACCTGCAGCCACCACTCCTGGGCTGCTGTGAGCAGGGGCCTGACTTGGACCTTCTGTGGAAGGAACTGTCCTGCCCAGACCCACACCCACTGCCCAATGGCACCCATGACTACTGTGGTCATGTGCCTGGCCCCAGGGTCCAGCTTCCCGCCAGCTGGCTCCTGGCTCTGCCTTTCCCTCTGTACCCAGGCTGACTTCTGGGTGTCCACCCTGTCTGCTCCCCTACCTCCAGTGCCATGTTCAAACTGGAGCCAGACTATTTCCTTCTTCCCCTGTCTTCTTCACTGGTCAGTTTTGCCCACTGTCACCCTAGCCCTGCCACGAGTCCCTTTGTCCCTAGGAATGACAGCACTAGAGGGGCCTCCAGCAGAGGTGGCTCTAGGTGTGACCTAGCGCTTAGAAAAAATTTCAGGAAAAGCCCAGACTGTGGACAGAGCAATCGCAAAGTTCACAGGGAGACTGGGGTGGGGTGGGGCCAAAGGGGCTGGATTACCAACAGTTGCTGTTTGGAAATAGGGCGCCAGGAAGACGGGCGTGAAGCAGAGGAAGGCGGCCAGGCAGGTGGCATCCCTGCCATTGCGCTGGCAGTCCTTGTGGAAGATGTTGATCTTGGATGGCTCAAAGTGGAGGCTGGCATTGATCTGAACCACGGGCCGGGACCTGGAGGAGAAGGGCCAGTGAGCCAGGGTGGGGCAGGCTCTCAGCTGTGACAAATGGGAAAAGTGGAGATTCAGATGGGAGCAGAACCTGCAAACCACCATTGGAGGGCGCTGTGGGGTGGGGCAGAGCGGGGCTTCGGATGCCACAGGACTGGGCAGAAGCGTACAAATGGACGGGGGCTCCGCAGCCTCACGGGGCGTTCAGAAGCCCTGTGCCCTTCTCCCAGGCGTTGTGCTTGCTGTACACACTGACTTCCCTTTGCCCCCTCATTATATGGGGTTCCCAACCCCATATGTACATTAGAATCATCGGGAACGCTTTAAAAAACCTGGGCCAAATTGAATTAGAATCAGGCATTAACATGTTTTAAAGTGATGCTTCTCAATTTTAACCTGTTTGCACATCCCCAGAGCTGTGGGAGACCAACCTTGCACATGACTGAGTCACACTCCCCTGCTGGGAGCTGAAAGTGCTCAGTCGTAGAATGTGGCAGAGCTTTCCCCACCCTTCTTGGATTTGAGGGATGGTGTCTTGTGTATGGGTGTATGGGTGTGTCTTGCTACAGCATGGGTGGAGCTATGCTCACCTGCTCCTTTGTAATATAACCCCTTGCCCTGATTGGAATAGAATGTTCCATGGAAGTGTCTGATGTGTGTCCCCTTCTCTTACTGTGCTCTTGGGTGTGGCCTACCTAGATGTCCGTCAACCTGCCAACAGTGGACATCATGAAGATAGACTCAGCCTCCTGAAACCTGATCTCTTGCTTCATTTGAATGGCTTCTCCTCAATAAAAGGGGTCAGTGCATGCTCTCGCTCTCTCTCTCTTCCTGTGGACCCTTAAGGTCAGAGGAGTCATTACAGCGACCCCAAAGAAAAAGGTATTTTTGTCTCTTGTGTGATTATTTCATGCAGCCCAATCAGCCCAGTTCAACTGGAGTGACCCCTGAGCCTTTTAGTCAAGAACAGAAACCCGGCACAGAGCATCTTGCTAGAAGGCAGATTCTAATTCAATAGTTTGGCATCGACTTTGTGCTTCCAACAAGCAGGTGCTGCTGTGGGTGGCTCAGGGAACCCACTTTGAAGAGCCAGAGGTGTAAAGATCTTTGGGTGATTCTGGGTGTGGCTAATGAAAAGAACAGTGTTCTAGAGCTTCCCCAACCATCTGTCCAATACTGGCCTAGTCAGGTAGCCAAGGATACAAAAGTACTCTTGGACAGATCTATGTCAAACATAATCAGGAACAGAAACCTACTGCCTCTGCAAACCATGACTTTATAAAGGACATAGGTGTAGCTTGGCCCAGCGGTTTCAGAGGTAAGGCTGGTTTCTTGCTGGACCTGGGACAGGTCCCATGATACCGCTGATAAGGCCTGCAAAAGTCCTGGGGGTGAGCGAGGACACCCACTTGACAGCCTTCTGGAATCTTCTGGGGAGTTAAAAAAAAATCACTGTCCTCTGGGTCCCTCTGGTGAATTCTGCTTCAATTGGTCAGAGTTCAGCTAGGACAATGAGTTTTAAAAGCTTCCTGGGTGACCCTAATGGACAGTCACACTTGGGAGCCATGGGGTTTGACCATAAAGTCTTCCCAGAGGGCTCTGGCCTGCAATTCCATCACTACAGGCAGCATGCAGTCCAGACCCCGAAAGTCGGAGCTGGATCAAACCCCTTGGGTGAGACTTGAGTCCCTGGGGTGGGTGCAGGTGTGTATCTTGTTTCCCATACAGTTGATGTGCCACCTTAAGGACCTGCTGGCCATTCTATCCCCTTCCCTGCGCCTGGACGCCTGCCTCGCTTCCTGGCTGGTGAATACCTTCATCAGCCTTTCAAGCCCAGGCTGCTGTTGCTGCTGCCACCACTGCCCCAACCTACAAGCCCCACGTGTGGGGAAGAGCTCTGACTGGGCTGGGCTCTTGGAGACTGTGGCTTTCCTAGCACTGCCCAGAGGGCCACAGGACACCACCGAAAGGGTGTGGATACTTTGGTTATGGATGACAGATATGGGGGCCCAGCAGGTGTGCTGCTCCTGTGTCCCCTACAACGTGCTGTGTCAAGAAACAGGTGCTGAGAAGGAGCTGCACTTGTGGCAAAGCCGACCACTCAGTAGCGCATGCTCAGATCTGCTCTCCTTTCCTGCCATTTTTTCTGAGATGGAACCTGCTCCCAAAGCATCTGCTCAGGAGCTTACATCTTGAGCTATTTTCTACAAAACCTGGGTGGAGACATTTCCCCTCTGGGTGGCAATATTCTTGAGGATGGGACACATCCTCCCTGTTCTTTATTCTCCCTGTAAAGTCATAGGATATCTGTTTAATGCATTCTAAAAATGGTGTGAAAATTTTGAATTTATATAAAATTGTATGCAGGCAGAAAAAGATGGGGAGGAAAGATGCCAAAACACTCAAGGTGGTAGTGTGAAGCTGGAGGGAACACGGAGCCATCTTTTCCTTTATTTTCAATTTCTCTTTAAGTTATTATGAATAAATGATAAACTGTAACTCATCAAGGTACATGAAAAAAACCTAAGTTAATTTTTTTTTTCGGGGGGGGGGAGCATCTAAGAGAAGCCAACCTATGGTAAAATATAGGAGCTTCTGGAGAGCATTGAAATGGAGCCTTGAACAAAGGAAAACAGAAGCCACAGGGGTTTTGGGGAAGGAAGCCCTGTATCACCTCTCCCACTCTAGAGGAGGAGGAGCGATCCTCCCAGCTGAGCCGATCCACGTGCTCCTCCAAGTAGCTTGAAAAGCTGAAGTGGAAGGAATTCTGGGAAGCAGAGCTTTCAGGACAAATTCTGGGGTTTTCTTTTCTTTCTTTTTTTTTTGGACTGGGGATTGAACTCAGGGGCCCTCCACCACTGAGCCACATCCCCAGCCCTATTTTGTACTTTATTTAGAGGCAGGGTCTCCCTGAATTGCTTAGCACCTTGCTAAATTGCTGAGGCTGGCTTTGAACTCGCCTCAGCCTCCGGAGCTGCTGAAGATAATATTTACTGATTCCACAAAAGGGAAAGGTGTCATCCAGGTTTGTTCGACTGACAGTGGTTAAAGGGACAAAGACCCTGCAGCCTGTCCTTGAAACCCTCTATCTGTCATGACCCCCCAGGAGAGCCCAAGAGGCAGGAAAAGTGGGGGAACCAACCACAGAATCACAGCATTGCCCAGCGCGCCCACGGCCAGGTCCACTAGCCCGTCGTCGTTGAGGTCCAACTGCCCGTGGATGCTGCAGCCAAAGTACCGGAGCCCGGGAGCCAGCTCTGATGCCGCCACTCTCTGCAGGGAGAGGAAAGCGTGGGCAGGGCGTGAGCACCATGAGCTCAGGCAGGGCCCGCAGGCACCACGGGGGGCCTGGGGACAGATATTGGACACCATCAGGAGGCTTCCCCAGACCAAAGCTGTCTCCTTCTCAGTCTGTCACGGCATGACATTCCCACCATGAAAGCCACGCTTTTGGATTAAAATATTATGTCTTGAAATCGTTCC